AGATTTATAATCCCACCAATTCTTTACTACTGACAGGTGGTACTTGTGACATAAGTTCCAATGAATCATTTGGGCCACAGAGTTGTGCCTCTATTTGTAGTCCGCCTGTGTGATTTTCTTGCAGCAGCTGAGGATATGATCCATGGTTTCATCAGCTTCCTTGCAGTCTGCATTTTGGGTCATCAGCTGATTTTTCGATCCTGGCCTTAATCGCATTTGTTCTGATAGCTTGTTCCTGGGCTGCAAGAGTCAGGCCTTCTGTCTCCTTCTTCAGTGTTCCATTCATGAGCCAAAACCAGATCTTCTCCTTGTCAGCTTGTCCTTCAATTTTGTCAAGGAACTGCCCATGCAATGCTTTGTTGTACCAGCTGTCAGCTCTGGTTTGTTGTGCAGTTTTCTTGTACTGGTTCTTTGTCTGCTGTGCTTTGAGAAGTTTCCAATTAATGACTTCAATCAAAGCAGGTTCTTTGCTTTCTTTTACACATTCAGTTATCTGTGAGTTGGTGTACTCTTGTGTCCACAGCGGACGCATCCTTTTTTGGTAGCCAGTGCCACGCTTTTGAAGTTCTGATTTGTAATAGCATTTCATAACTGTGTGGTTTTCTGGCATTGTATATTTCTGCTACTTCTGTGACTGTTCATTTGTATTTTAATTTTGTAGCCCACTTGTCGATGAATGTCCAGAATCAGCAGCATCCACTGAGTCACGTTTTGGTTTGTTTCTCCATAGTGCTAATGGGTTAGCTGCTCTTAGTTCCACTCCTCAGCAGAGACCACTCTGGTGTGGTTGGACCTGCTAGTAGTTACACTACCACCAGCACAGCCCTCAGCATCCTTGGAGCCGTTAAGCCCCCCACCACGACAGAGAGATGATGATGATGATGATGATGATTATTATTATTATTATTATTATTATTACTAGTATTATGTCTCTTTTAAGCAATATATTACTGTCTCCTTGAAATGGGATATTAATAAAGCCCCGGAAGAGGATGCTAATACATTAATACTTGTGTATCTAATCTGGTTTTAGTCACCTTGTACAAATGGCTGTGAATATATTTAATAAAAAACAGATGACTTGACTAGAGATTAGAAATAAATCCAGTTTCATAATCCTGAAGAAAACAGATGTAGGACTGAAGGACGGAGCAAACCATTTAAACCAAAATATTGCTTAACTGTGCTGGATGTTTTTCAGCAAGCAAACTGTCATCTGCGCCCACAGAATAGCTTCGGGAAGGATTTTTCCAAATATAGATCCTTTGTGAGTGGTTTGGTGATATGGCATAAAAAGAACTATGCCAAAATTGATTTATTAATATAACAGAATGTCTTGTATGCCTTGCACAGTTTAATGAAACCTTAGATCTACACCAGGCATGGGCTTAAGCAGCTGAGGGGGGAAAGGAAAGGGTCTGAGGCTGTAAGGAATGGTGGGAGTTGGAGTCCAAAACTTGTGCAGGACCCAAGTTTGCCCGTGCCTGATCTGCTCTGCCATACACAGGCAGTCCCCAAGTAACAAAAAAGATGGGTTCTCTACATTTGTTCTTAAGTTGAATTTGTGTTTACGTTGGAACAAGTGCATTTTTAAAGTGTAACACACACACACACATATAAGCTTTGAATAGCATAGGGAAGGGTTTACACCCCTGTCGTGTTCATTTTGCTGTCTCTGCCAGTTCAGAAGATGTCACTTCACTTTCTGTCCTTGTGATAAATGGATTCTGAAAGATTTTTCTTGTTCTGGAAATAAGGATTGGTATATAAAGCTTCAGTGGAGATTGCTATTCCCCATGATAATAACTCTTTCAGGAGTGATTTTTCTTTTCAAGAGGTAGATTCCTCTCCCTTCTGGTTGTCTAACCCCTGTTCTTAACCATGAGTTGTTTGTTTGTAAATCAGAAACTGCCTGCAATGCAGTTTCAGAATGCCGATGAACAGAGGTGTAGGATCATACCATCCAGTTCAATGCAGTTATCATTGGCATTCTGAAACAGTATTACATGGCAGGGTAGATGGGGCCGAAGGTGGTGATCGTTTCACTACCTGGAAGCTAAATATCAGGTCGTAATGTTGGGTTTCTTCCCTGTACTGCACAAGTCTCTTGTGTCATCAAGTTTCCAGACTTCAATGAGTAGATAGAATAGGGATAGAATTAGGCTGAGGGATTCCTCCCCCCACATTCCAATGCATGTTTTCCCCCAGAAAAGGGCTTTGTCTTTCCTCTCCTGCTAGCCACTGTCTCCTCCCCCTTTGAATATGTAGGAATGGGATTCTGTGAAGGAACTTCCTCTTTTAAGTTTTATTGCTCTGGGTTAATCATGTGGTCTCCGCTATTGTCTCTTCTGCCTTTTCTTCCTCCCAGTGACGACGCATTTTGCCTCTCTTTAGGCAAAATATAGCTGCATGGATTTTTAAACAACTTTTTACCCCTTTTACTTCTTTAGCCAGTTAACTCCAAGGCTTTTTTCACTGTCTAAAATGTATTTCTCATACTTCAATAAATATTTTTGAACCTAAAGTTCTGACTCTGCCATCCTAAAAATTTAAGAAGCGTATCCCAGCTTCACCACATGCATGTTTCTGGTGGTTATGAAGTTTACTTCTGGTACTCTGCTGTATCCTTCCCTTCACTGCAGGGAAGGATATTAGAGGCAAAGATGAAGTATGTTGGCCACATAATGAGATGACAGGAAAGCTTGGAGAAGACAATGATGCTGGGGATGCTCTTACGCCATCAACTCTGCTGGACTGGCCACGTTGTCTGAATGCCTGATCACTGGCTCCCAAAGCAGTTACTATGCTCCCAACTCAAGAATGGAAAACATAACACTGGTGGACAGGAAAAGAGATTTAAAAATGGGCTTAAATCCAATCTTAAAAACTGTTGCATAGACACAGAAAACTGGAAAGCCCTGGCCCTTGAGCGCTCTAACTGGAGGTCAACTATGACCAGCAGTGCTGCAGAATTTGAAGAGGCACGAATGGAGGGCAAAAGGGAGAAATGTGCCAAGAGGAAGGTGCATCAAGCCAACCCTGACAAGGACTGCCTTCCACATGGAAACCGATGTTCTCACTGTGGGAGAAAATGCGGATCAAGGATAGGCCACCTACAAATCCATCACCAAGACACCAGACTTGGAGGACCATAATTCTCAGGCTACAAGGGATTGCCTAAGTAAGTGAGCTGGGGAAAATGAAATGAAAAAGGAAGAGGGGCTGACCAAGGACAAGATGGATGGATGGTATCCTTGAAGTGACTTGCTTGACTCTGAAGGAGTTGGGGTGACAATGGCTTACAGGGAGCTCTGGCGTGGGCTGGTCCATGAGGTCACAAAGAGTCGGAAGCTACTGAATGAATAAATAACAAAAAAAAACAGCAACATTTTCCAGATGATGAAAGTTCATCGTGAGGAAGGTTGTGGTATTTAGGGTTTTTCCCCTTGAAGTGACTAGCTTGACCTTGAAGGAGCTGGGGGGGGGGGGCAGGGAGCTTTGGCTTGGGCTGGTCCAGGAGGTCAGGAAGAGTGGGAAGCGACTGAAGCGAATGAACAACAACAAATTATGCTGTATTTATCGTGGATATCAAAGAAACACAGATATCTATAACAATGACAAAATACAAGTTGCCAACTGTTATCCAAACAGAACTATGTTAACATAAACCGTGTAAATACACTGCATATAAACCACACAAAGAAATTGCAAGTCTGAGTGCTACTTAGTTATCTCGTAGTCCTTGAGAAAGTAAACTGTCTTCTAAATACTGTCCAAATAAAGTCCAAATAGTTCAAATTGCTGTCCAGTTTAAAATATTATCCAAATTATAATGCGACAAGGATCCCCGGGTTGAGGTTGCCTTGTTTCGGGGGACTTCCCCTTCTTCAGGATTTCATCTTTGTTATTGTTGTTGTTCATTTGTTCAGTTGTCTCCGACTCTTCGTGACCTCATGGACCAGCCCACGCCAGAGCTCCCTGTCAGCCGTCACCACCCCCAGCTCCTTCAAGGTCAGTCCAGTCACTTCAAGGATGCCATCCATCCATCTTGCCCTTGGTCGGCCCCTCTTCCTTTTTCCTTCCACTTTCCCCAGCATAGTTGTCTTCGTTATTATAATTAGGATAATATTTTGAACTGGACAGCAAGCATTATAATTTGGATAATATTGGACTACGAGATAACCAAGTAGCACTCAGACTTGAAATTTCTTTGTGTGGCTTATATGCCGTGTATTTACATGGTTTATGTTAACATAGTTTTGTTTGGATAACAGTTGGCAATTCGTATTTATGGTGGAATCACCCCAAATGAGGGTTATTTCTGAGCCAAACAGCTCAGCTTCCCCAACATGCAGCCTTCTCCTCATCCTTCTCCTCTTGTTATTGAGGTGATGGCTTTGATGGGGAAGGAGGAAACCCCTAATAGTACAGCACAGGCCGGTAGCCAGGATTTCGTTTGGGGGGGGGTGTGAATTTTTCTCGGGGGGGTTTCGGGGGGTAGCTGAGTTTCGGGGGGGGGGCTGAGTCTGAGTGAAAGAGGGTCTACCCTAGCAAACCTTTTGTATCATTACCCCAATACCCCCATGCATATGGGATATATTGAGTATGGTGATCAGATCATGATATGAATAAACATAACAGTTTAAGTAATGCACCAGTAAGGCCTTTTCGCGAACCACCATGAGAATTTCGGGGGGGGGGGGCTGAAGCCCCCCGAGCCCCCCCCCCCCACCTGGCTACATGCCTGGTACAGCAGGCAGGCCTGCTAGGGGTGGCTGCTGCTGCTGCTGCTGCTTGACTGGTGATGCTGCGCGCGCCCTGTTACAAAAGGCCCGCGCGGCGATGACGTCACGCGCGTCTCCCCAGCTGCGCGGAGGGAAAGGGGCGGGGCTCCGGCCTCGAGCAGCACCCCGGCTCCGAAGCCAGCCAGCCAGCCAGGCAGCCAACCAACGGGCCGTTTGGCGGGGGCCGAGGAGGGTTGGAGGGAGGTTGCGGGGCGAGCGCCGCATCAGTCGGGGCGCCTGACCGGGATGGCGGCGGGGAGCCGGGGCGCGGTGCTGCTGCTCTTCTTCTCGCTCTCCCCGCGGGCCCCGGGCAGCCAGGCGGCGTGGCTGCTGGGCTTGCGGCCGGAGGACACCTCCCCGGGCCGCGTGTGGCTGGAGCGGGGGGCGCTGCGGGCGGCCGAGGGCTCCCGCTTCTTGCTGCGCCTCTTCTTCCAGCCGCCGGGCCGCGAAGGAGGAGGAGGAGGAGAGGGAGAAGGGGGCAATAGCAGCAGCATCGGCGGCAGCGCGAAGGTGGAGCGTCGCGTGGTGTTCGTGGAGGAGCCTTCGCAGGCGGCGCGGTGCGCGGAGAGCAGCGCCTGGGCGTCGGACGTGGAGGTGCTGGGCCCGCTGCTCCCGGGCGGGGCCTCGGGCACGGCGCTGGCGGAGGTGCGCGTGCTGCACCCGCGGAAGGGCGAGGAGCGCAAGCGGGGCGGGCGGCGCCGCTTCGGCCTCTGCGCCTGGGACGGGGCGGCCTGGCACTTCGGCGGCTCGGCGCTGCAGGTGGAGGAGGCGCCGGGCGCGTCCGGGGCGGGCTGGGCCTCGGGCCTGGTCCCGCTCCCGGAGGCGGCGTGGCTGCGGGCGGCGGCGGCGCTGCTCCTGCTGGGCCTCTCGGCGCTCTTCGGCGGCCTGCGCCTGGCGCTGCTCTCGCTGGACCCGGTGGAGCTGCGCGTGCTGCGGAAGTGCGGCTCGGCGGCCGAGCGCGCGCAGGCGCAGAAGGTGGAGGCGGCGCGCGGGGCGGCCGGCGGCGGCGGGAGCGGCGGCACGCGCCTGCTCTGCACGCTGCTCCTGGGCCAGGCCGGCGCCAACGCCGCTCTGGCCGGCTGGCTCTGCGCCGCCATGCCGGCCGGCGGAGACGAGCCCCCCAAGGGCGTGCCCTGGCTGCCCGTGCTGCTCTGCACGGCGGCGGTGCTGCTGGGCGGAGAGGTGCTGCCCTACTCGGTCTGCTCGCGGCACGGGCTGGCGGTGGCGGCGCACACCTTGTGCCTGACGCGCCTCCTCATGGCGGCCGCCTTCCCGCTCTGCTACCCGCTGGGCCGCCTCCTCGACTGGGCCCTGCGCCGCGAGCTCAGCGTCTGCTCCGCCCGCGAGCGCCTCCTCGAGTCCCTCCGCGCCCTCCCCGACGAAGGCGGCCTGGGCGGCCTCGGCGGCGACTTAGTCAGCGGGGAGCTGGCCATGGTGCAGGGCGCGCTGGAGCTGCGCAACAAGACGGCCGAGGACGTGCTCACGCCGCTCAGCCGCTGCTTCATGCTCCGCGCCGACGCCGTCCTCGACTTCGCCACCGTCTCCGAGATCCTCCGCTCGGGCTACACCCGCATCCCGGTCTACGAGGGCGAGCGGCGCGACAACATCGTGGACCTGCTCTTCGTCAAGGACCTGGCCTTCGTCGACCCCGACGACTGCACCCCGCTCCAGACCGTCACCCGCTTCTACCGCCGCCCGCTCCACTGCGTCTTCCACGACACGCGCCTCGACGCCCTGCTGGAGGAGTTCAAGAAGGGTGAGCCCCCGCCAGGCCCACGCCGCCCTTGCAATGCTGGGCGTGGGCAGGCTTCGGCCTTCCTCCTGTTTGGGACTTCAATCCTCACCATTCCGAAGGAAGTCCAAAACATCTGGAGGGCCAAAGTTTGCCTTTGCTTGGGCTCTATTGAAGAAGATTCAAATTCAGCATTTTGATTTTTCATATCAGGAGCGACTTGAGAAACTGCAAGTTGCTTCTGGTGTGAGAGAATTGGCTGTTTGCAAGGACATTGCACAGGGGACACCCAGATGTTTTGATGTTTTATCCTTGTGGGAGGCTTCTCTCATGTCCCTGCATGGGGAGCTGGAGCTCACAGAGGGAGCTCATCCACGGTCCCCCTGGATTAGAACCTGCAACCTGTCGGTCTTCAGTCCTGTCGGCACAAGGGTTTAACCCATTGTACCACCGGCATGCCATTAATTAGGCATGACGATGGAGATGGGGGTGGTGATATGTCTTTGTCTCAGGACCAAGACCATCACAACTTTATACATCTCAAAACTTAGGCAATGTAAATATGGCCACACAGCCCAAAAAATACACAGCAACCCAGTGATTCCAGCCATGAAAGCCTTCAACAACACATTAGGAAGAACTTCCTAACGGAGAAGTTAGGAAGTTCAGCAGTGGAACTCTCTGCCCCGGAGTGTGGTGGAGGCTCCTTCTTTGGAGGAATTTAAGCAGAGGCTGGATGACCATCTGTCAGGGGTGCTTTGAATGCTGTTTTCCAGCTTTTTGGCATGGGGTTGGACTGGATGTCCCACGGGGTCTCTTCCAACTCTAGGATTCTGATTCTATGTAGCTGGGATAAGCTTCTGTTCTTAGGATGACACAGGATTGCAGTCAGAACTTTAGGTTCAAAAATATTTATTGAAGTAAAAGAAATACATCATTGATAGAAAAGGTCTTGGAGCTAACTAGCTTACAAAATCCCATCTTCTAAAAAAGTAAAAAGTATCAAAAACATACAGCTACATTTTGCCTAGAGAGAGAGACAAAATGCATCCTCACTGGAAGGAAGTAAAAGGCAGAAGAAACAAAGGCGGAGACCACGTGGTCAACCCAGGGGAATAAAAAGACTTTAAAGAAGGAAGTTCCCTCACAGATATTCTGTTGCTACATCTTCAAAGGGGGAGGAGGCAGTGGCAAGGACAAAGCCCCTTCTGGGATAAACATGCATAGGGGCCCTGTGCTTGAATACACCTAAGCACAATAATGGTAGATCCAGCACTGGTGAGGGCCTCCTCGCTGCTCCCAGGGCGCCTGCCCTGCTCACAAGGACCTTGGGACTCCACAGTGCTCTCCAACCCTCTCCCACCCTTTTCCCTGGCCCTAGTGCAGCCTCACCCGGTTTAGGACAAGGGCTGGGCTTCTGGAAGGGATTCACACAGTGTCTGTATGTGTAGCCATCACATGGCCCCTGCCGTTCATTGGGACAGTCCAGGGATTCCCCTAAACCAGGCTTGAACACTCGTGGTCCTCCAGATGCTTTGGATTCAGCAAGGGCTTTTGGGAGTTTGACTTCCAAAAACACCTAGAGGGTTGCACCTTGTACAGGCCTGCTCTAAACTGTATCTATGAGGATGGATATCAAAGACATTTTTGTGAAGTTGCAGGAAGGAATTTAGAAGTATTACTCCCATATCGGCTAGCCAAGGTGTTGTCTGTGTCCTAGCCTAGGGATTAATGCACTTCCCATTCCATGCTGCTCGCACAGAGACTGATAGTATTCCACTGCTTCTCAGTTTCTCATTCTATATCACATGTGTCAAACTCAAGGCCCACAAGCCAAATCTGGCTCACCCCAGTCATTTCATGGAGCCCTCCAGATGCTTGGCCACAACTCCTGAGTTCATCATCATTAGGCATCATAGGATACAGTCACATCTGGAAGACTGCAGTTTGATCTATTTGTTGGGGAATCTGAGCTGTTAGGCTCAAAATAACCCTCAGTTGGGGTGATTCCACCATAAATATAGCAGAGTACCAGAAGTAAACTTCATAACCAGCAGAAACTTACGTGTGGCAAACTAGGATTACCTTCTATGTTTTAGGATGGATCAGGATTAGAGTCAGAACTTTAGGTTCAAAATATTTATTGAAGTAAAAAATACATTCTTGATAGAAAAGGTCTTGGAGACAACTAGCTTACTAAGTCTCATTTTCTAAAGTATGTAAAAGGTGAAAAGAGCCATGCAGCTACATTTTGCCTAGAGAGAGGCAAAATGCGTACTTACTGGAAGGAAGAAAAGGCAGAAGAGACTGAAAAATGGTGGAGAGACAGCACGGTCAATCCAGGGTAAATTAAAACTTAAAGAGTTCCCTCACACAATTCCATTACTACATCCTCAAAGGGGGAGGAGACAGTGGCTGACAGGAAGAGTAAAGACAAAGCCCTTTTCGGGAAAACATCCATAGGAATATGAGGGAAAGAATCCCTCAGCCTGATCCTATCTCTAGCCTGGCTACTCATTGAGGTCTGGAAACTTGATGACACAAGAGACTTGTGCAATTCAGGGATGAAACTCAACAATATTTCATCAGGAAAATGAGGTTTGAATTGAGATGGAAGGTTTGTGGAGATGATGTCTGACTTTAAAATGTCCTTTAATCTTTCCCCAACTTCAGAGCCAGAAATTATGCTTGGTTGCAATTCCCATTTTCCCCAGTCTGCATAGAAGATAAGCAAAAGGAATGGGAACTGTCATTCAGTAACATCTGGGGACCCAAACTTGGTAAAATCTAAAGAGCATCAACCCCTGTGTGAAAAAAATATATAGTTCAACCTCTTTTTCAATGGATTCTCCATCCATGTTGTACAAGCCTAGTTCTTTTGACATTGCGTGGAGGGGGAATAATGGAATAATGGTATCCCTCCATCTCCATTCAGTGTGCATGAAACAGTATGGCCAAGTTGTTGTTAATGTGATTCATGCATTTCCCATATCAAGCTGCTTGCAGGGAGATCCTCAAGATCTCTGATACTATTCCACTACTTCCTTGCCAGTTAGTAACTGTTCTGAGGGGAGGTCAGTTTGCTATAATCTGCCTACCTGTTCTAGCCAAACATTAGAGGTACTGTACTAAAAATATACTTCTCCTGAACTCATGTTGGCCACCAGATCTCTGACCTGTCCTACCCGAAGATATCAGGCATCCAGCCTTTGACTATCTACAATTATAAAGTACAGAAAGTCCTACCTGGAGTTACAGACCTTGGACTTATAGTTAAGAATGGGGGTGAGACAACAGGAAATGAGAGAAATCTACCCTGGGAAGGGAAATTCATTCCTGAAAGAGTTATTATCCTGGGAAAAGGGTGTCTCCACTGAAGCTTTATCTCAAATCCTTGTTTCCCCAACAAACCACATTTTTCAAAAGCCAATTATCACAGGGACAGAAAGTGAGGTGAAATCTTCTGAACAGGCTTGTTTTCCTTTTTATGAAGTACAACTGAAGCATCCTCTGCAGAGGTCATTGTAAACACTGCACAACAGATTCATGTAAAATATTAAAACAACCAATATGTAATGGTCAGAAAAAATTTATTGTTGCCAAAATTTTCAGGATTTTGAGCTTAAGGAGAACCTATTTGGGGTCATAATCCACAGTTTAAAAAGCAGTACTCTAAATGATCTATGGTTTCTATGCAAATTCCAACCATCATCATCCCCCATATATACTAGCCTAAAGAATTCTGTAATTTATATTCCAAAAGTAACTTTTCTAAGGTCTAAACATATATGTCTTGCACCTATTCTGTTGGTAGCAAACATAACATTCATCCATTCACCCAGTCCTGGCTTCTCTCATGACATTTTCAAGTAAAATGGACACTTTGTTCTAGAAACCTTTGTTTATACAAAGTTCATTATGTACAATCTATATATATAAATCTGTTAGGTTGGTTCAACCGGACAGCAAAACTCCACAACCCCCCAACGAAACTGTACCAAAATTGCCATGCCCATAACACAACCCACAAGTACAAACATATCTACTCAAAATGAAAAACAACACAACAACACACTCACAAAATGGCAAAACAACAAAACTCAAAAACCCCCCAACGAAACTTAACCAAAATTCCCATGCCCATAACACAACCCACAAGGTACAAACATATCTACTCAAAATGAAAAACAACACAACAACACACTCACAAAACGGCAAAACAACAAAACTCAAAAAAAAACCAACGAAACTTAACCAAAATTCCCATGCCCATAACACAACCCACAAGGTACAAACATATCTACTCAAAATGAAAAACAACACAACAACACACTCACAAAACGGCAAAACAACAAAACTCAAAAAACCCCAACGAAACTTAACCAAAATTCCCATGCCCATAACACAACCCGCAAGGTACAAACATATCTACTCAAAATGAAAAACAACACAACAACACACTCACAAAACGGCAAAACAACAAAACTCAAAAAACCAACGAAACTTAACCAAAATTCCCATGCCCATAACACAACCCACAAGGTACAAACATATCTACTCAAAATGAAAAACAACACAACAACACACTCACAAAACGGCAAAACAACAAAACTCAAACCCCCCAACGAAACTTAACCAAAATTCCCATGCCCATAACACAACCCATAAGGTACAAACATATCTACTCAAAATGAAAAACAACACAACAACACACTCACAAAACGGCAAAACAACTGAGCATGCGCATTGGTGCCCAGCCGCAAGTTCCCTGGCGCGCGCACACAGCCTTCCGGCCAATGTTCCCTCTGCGGAAGCCATGCCCACTCCAAGCCCTGCCGCGCCGCTTCCCGCACACACACACCCCCCGCCGCACGCACACACACAACCCCACGCTCCATCACTCCCCCCGCCGCACACACACACGCAACCCCACGCTCCATCACTCCCCCCACCGCCACACACACACGCGCAACCCCACTCCCCCCGCTGCCGCACACACACACGCAACCCCACGCTCCATCACT